CGTTGTTCCTCGTAACTTAGGCATGCCAAATCAGGAAGGTCCCCGAAAATTATGAAGTTGTTTTCCCAGGACGAACTACTACTAGAGCTTTTCAGGCTCGGGGGAGACAGGGCGGGGGTAGCGCGCGTCGGACCGAATTTACGATGCGAGTAAGACTTCTTTGGAACACGCCCCAGGGGTAAATTATTTCTCCTCCGGGCTACCATTGCTTCCTGATGTTACTTTAGTACATATATACGTATACACTTTCCTAAGTCTTAGGAGGACAAGCTTCAGTTTTTAACAAAAACCTAATAAAATTATTAATTAAGCATACCAATAAGAAGTTTGGTATGGAACTATTATATCAGATTGGAGTTATTGTAAAAAACCATCATTTATTAATGGATCTTGATACCATTTGAAACCATTTGAAACCATCATTTATTAATGGATCTTGAGCAGAGGATGGGAAATGTTAATGTCGTGGTCCGACTTTCAATTCGATCGAAAGATATTAATACACGTGATTAAATATTTATACGTAAAAACGGAAATAATTTCCTCGCCAAAAGGATGGAACGAATTAAAAACGTATGGAACAGTAATAGATAGGAATTCGCGGCTTAATTGATTCTCGTTTTTAATTAAAACGTTTCTGTCAAGGGGCTCTGTAGTAATTGTAATAAAAGATTGAGAGTTTCGATTTTTCCATTTACAATGTAGTTAATTATTGATAATAAAGGTAAATCAGTCAGAATACCGGAAAAGCATTCAGTGAATCATGAACAATTTAATAATACGGATTGTTACGCATGCATCGCGAAGACGACAGGAATATATAGAAGATTTGTTGCAAGAACAGATATCTTCGTGGATATTATGTGTAGTTTATCAATGAGCCGGAATTCAATTTCAGAAGCCTGCTGTACTAAAAACGTCTCGAGCACAATTTGCGTCCCGACTAGCTAAAAGCTTCTCCCCGTTCTTTATCAATGTCGAACGTTTCCATCGTTCTCGCAGCTGCATACTAATCGCATCAGCGTTTCGAGAGGCAAACGATATTAGATAATAGAGGAGACGATGCGACGGCTGCCGGAAAACTGGAGAGCGAGCCGAAGGTTCGGGAGATTGGCGAGGCAGGATTTCCACGAGCGAATTGACGCGAGTATCGCGACACAATTGAGTACGGCGATAATTATTACGGCCCTTCCGTTATCGTCGAGCCAAATCGATTAATCTCTCCACCTATTCCGGCAAGAACGGATAAATTCCCCTCTTTTCTCTTCCCAAGCTTCTGAGACAATATAATTGAAGCATCAAGTATCCGTCGAATCGAACCGATTTGAGAAATATTCAAATCATTTACCGAGCACGTATCAATTTCGAACGGCATTCGGAGCGAGAGCGGAACTCGTTTTTGTAATTAAAATCTATGAAGCGGCTCGAAAATAGTGAAAAGGCAACCAGAGACTTTTTTCAGTGAGAGCCGATCGCTCTCGGCCTCGTTCGAGATAATTAGGTGAAAACCGCGGCCGGGCATTTAGCCAGACCGTTGCCCTCGGAATTAGTTTAAAATACGGCCTCTAATTGGCAAGGGCGGTACTTGATCCGGCCGACGGTTTGCCCCGTAATTTGTTTCGATCCTGATTAACTCGTCGCGTCGCGCGGGATCTGTTTCTGGTTTCTGATTTAATCGATTAATCGAGCGGAGTGCTTAAAATCAAACTGTTGCGATCGACGAAGAGGAAAACGTACCGTACGAATCTGAAGCGCAATCTGACTTCTTTTAGTGTATCGTTACTCGATCCTTGTTTACGGCGCTCGTTACGAGATTTCATCGAACTCTCTAAATCCACTTTCCCCAGGCAAATATCGTTCAAGAAAACCCACTCGGAAACTTCCTTGGCGCGAGTCCAGGGGATAAAACCAGCGTTTCCACGCTTTATATTCATTATTCTCGTATATCAAAACTGAGATTCGGACAAAAAAGACTGGAGTGAGCATTTCCATAGGCCTGGTAGGATACGCGTCGGAAGCCGCGTCGACAGATACATATTTATTTCGAACGGAAATCCGCGGAGTCCGGCTACTGTCGCTCGTACGTCATGTATGTTCCCGTTGCGCAGGAACGACCGTCAACGACGAGCAGACGCGCCACGAAGTGTCGTGTATTTATGAACCTCGCTTTGTTCGCGACGCGACTATCACCGTTAATAACGTTGCGTTTAATTTATAAGATTAGAATTTATGATAAAACGTGCGAATTTTAGATATTTCACAAAGATTTCTTTCTGCATGTATAAAAAAAATATTATGAGAGGATATCGAAGTTGAAATAGTGGGTCTATCTTGAATGCCGTCGTCCATCTCTTGAAATCCCAGAGGGCACGGAATAGCAGAGGAGAAAAATTGCAGAGCGAACGAAAGGAGAGGATGATGCGTGCGTGCAAAAATAAAAGAGGGAGAGTCGATCGGGGTTTCCACCCCTGCCGTTTACCCTCTGCGCCCGGACACCCTCCCGTGTCGATGTCACGAGTAACGAGTGTCGTGGTGCAGACTGCATTAGTACCTTGCAGGGGGGATACTAAAAAATAACGACGAAACGAGACGGGAAGGGACGAGAAGGGGTTGGACAGGAGGCATCGATCGATATCACCTGATACATTGTTTTCGGATAAGAAGCGGGCTAGCTTCGATAAAATAGTGCGTGGCACCTCTGTCTACGACACGCGTGATATATCGTGGAACGCGTGCCCGTCTAAACGAGAGGGACGCATAAATGATATATGCGTCGTCTCGTTTTTGTCTTATGTCTGCCGGTGCTTTATTGGATGGCTCTCGATTCCGTTTTTCCGATCTATGGATAATCTTCACGCGGCTACCAAACGCCATAAAGTGATTAATAATAACGTCCGTACGTGATAAAACCAGCGGCTGTGGATCGGCAAGGGTTGGGTTGTAATGGATGAATTGTACGTGACAGCTTGGGTGATCGTCGTCGCGTGATGGATAGACTTGGCTGACCGCGACCCGACTTGTTCTACTCGCCGCGCTGTGTCGCGCCAACGCTTTGCGTATTCTACTCCGTGCCGCCTTCATGATTTTCAATGCTTCCGTAATAACTGTTTAAAACAGGGCATGTCTGACTTTGAACTGACTCTGTCCATCTGTTATATTGAATCGGGTAAAAATAGTCCAGTCTACGCTTCGGTGTATCTACGCTTCTTTTTCAATTAGTCCAATCACACTGATGTGTGACTGAAAAATATTAAAAAAAAAACAAATAGAAAAATGACCTCCGTTGAAAAAAAGTTTTTCCATGCCGCAAACATTAGCAAACATATCTCGGGCACACATATCTCTTCGATGGTGATGGCAGGGAGTGAATGGCTTGGCCAAACACAACCCCGGAGAGCTGAACCAGTCGGCAATCTCCGAAAACAAAATTTCCCCAGCTGGGTTGTAACGCGACCGAATGTTGTTCGGGCAGCTAGCCGTCGGCCTCGATTATCGATTATGAAATTGCAGCAGATAAAGCAAACGGGAGAGACTACTGTTCTCTCCCTCTCTGTAGGTCTCGCTCGCGCGTTAGTCGAACACGCGTGTACAGGTGCGCCGATTGACTTTCCGTTTATCGGATGACAGACGCACGCATACAAACGCGTGTAGGACGACTTGCACACCCCTTTGCCACGCCATCCGATCGCGTTACACACGACTGCCGTGTTCCCTACATACACGGAACTTATGTATGCTCTATGTCATATTCTGCGCTTGTCACTTTATCCACCTATTACGCTTCATCCATTTCCACCTTGTATCGTCCTTACCTGTTATCGAAGTCGCGATCGGATCCTGAATCTTCACGCAATTGAGATTCCTTTTATCACTTTAACCATTCAATGCAATATGCATTCACCTTCGATATTCATCAGCATTAATTCAATTGTTTATAAATGCATAAAATCTGCAGTCTATTAATTAGTTACGTTGCTTCCGAGATTTGATTCCTTTCTTGAGATTCAGTATCTACTTTCTGGGCTAACCGGTAATACCCAGCAGTCGGCGAGGCTAGGCCAGCCATCACGTTGCATTAGCTGGCCATTATTGCACGATTATCCAAGAATCAGGTGAACAGGCTTTGGCTCAAGATCCCCGTTTAAACCAGCTCGCGTTAAATCCATCCCCGGTTACGTCCTGACATTTTCTTTTGTGCTCCCGTCGACAGATAGATCTTCACGGCGTAATCTTTACGAATTTCTTCGATTAATTTCACGTTATTAAACATTAACGCACGGTTTAACATTTCTTTTTCGATTAAAGACGATCCATTAGCTACGAACTATCACGCGAATGACTCTCGGGGCATCTTGAATGCGGATTAAATCGAATTAAGATCAAAGATGTTCAGACACGCGGTTACTCACACCGTGATTGCTCGGTTGAAAATTTAAGTAGACTCGTTAACAACGGGACGTTTCTTTTACACTCTCTCCCGATGCGAGATGCCTCTTGTTACGGTTCCCGTCTTGATTGAATAAAAAAACTTTTGATGTTCCCACGGAATCGTTTGATTATCGCGGGAAAAACGAATCGGAAGAGAAAACCTTTTCGATACAAATGATATTCCGCCGCCGCGACATGACGAAAAAAGAAACAATTTCCTCGCATTTCGCGCGAAACACTAACGAGATGAAGTTTTTCCAACTGCGACGATACAATCGTTTTTACCCAGACGGAAAACAAGCGTCTCTCTCTCTCCGGCGCCTCGCATAAGAATGAATACAAAGTGCAAAAACTTGTTTCCATAACCAGAGGAAATTGTCTATAGGAAAATATCGTTTACTCTCTGGGAAATTACTCGATATTCTGTTTGATCCCACCGTACCTTCCTTCCTTCTTCCATTTATTTATCACGAAGCAAACGATTACTACTTCTCGTGTTCGGAGACGAACAGTTTCTGCAATTTTACTCTCGCTCTGTTTAATTGCAAAGCAATTCGTTCGAGTGTACACACTTTATTCGATTGGCGACGAGCAGCTCCGCGATGTGCTTGCCCAGCATGGAATAGAGCGTCTCCACGAAGACCAACACCTTCGAGTCTGTTCTCAAACGAGCCTCGCTGCGGTGATCCGGTGCAGAGGGTAGCCTCGTCGCACCCCTCAACGTTGAACAACTGATCGCTGGTTCTGGCCTTGTATCCCGATGGATCAGACTGCAACAGAAATCAATTCAACACATTATTATTAAAAATTTAATCAAGAATAGAAGAAGCAAGGAATCTTATTGAAAATCATATTTTTCTAAACATATTTTTGTTAAAGATTCGCAACGGCTTGGTCAAGTTCGCATCTAGCTTTCGTTATTTCGAGGGGTAGAGAGATTTTCTTGGCGTAACTAGAAGACGAGATAACGTCGTTGGTAGCATCGAAAGCGGAGCGGATTGCTCCACTTGGCATGAATCGGACGACATTTTTACGATTACCGATAATCCCACTGTGTGTCTCAAAGAGTCGAGGCAAAAGGAGATTCGTCTCGAGGAGGTACGATGAAGGAATTCTTTCATCGGAATCGCCGTAACCCGAGGCCTCCCGAGAAGCTTTTAAGGAATGCCCGACCCTTTTCAGCTTTCTATCTTCAAAGCGATCCTTTCACCCATAATCCTATTGCATAGGTGGAATTAACGTTCGTCTGATATACCATCATAGAGATCGCGAATCGCGAATCCTTTTGCAATTTTAATATGCAGATCCCGTTTGACATTCGAATTTAAAGATTATCGTTGCAGTCGATCGAACACCTATATGCTCAAATTGGAGAGATTTAATTAAAATCGGAATTTATTGCAAAACTGCTATTTCAATAAAAAAGTCGATGTCAAACATTTAATGAAGATCAACCGTGGTACAACGTTTTTACATTTAACGCGAGAACGAAACGTGCGTAACGAATTTACGGCTTCCCTCTCTCTCTCTCTCGCTCGGTTGAAAATTGCCGGAAAAGTTTCCCGTTTACCGGTTTCGCAGGCTTAACGCGCGCGAGAGCACGACCCGGTTTCCGGTCGCAATTTGCCAGCCAAAACTCGTCTTGATGTACGTGACCGGCGGCGTAATATCGCGCTGTTTGCTCTCGTAATACCGGAGGTCCGGTTTATCGATCACGGTCTCGGGCCGCGTGCGACTTTGTGGCGAACGCGCGGTCGATGGTCAATGCTGGTTTATCAGGCCGAAGTCTCCGGGACCCGACGACGTGTTAATTCCGTCCCGCATAATGCACCGACCCCTTCCACACCCGCGATAAGTACTCAAGATGCCTTCGAACAGGCCATTGCGCTTCACTAAGTAAGTCAGATGCTATTTCACTCTCTGCGATCGTGAGTTAGGAAAATGTTACAAGCGATTTCTTTTCAATGTCACATGGCAGTTAATTAAATATGTTTCCATTTACAACGATATTGATAACGTTTCGTGATAAGCGATTGATAAACGAAACGAGTAAAGCATCCTTGAAGTTAATTTTAAACGAACGAATACAAGACAGATTTTCCACAGGAAAGGGTAGTGGTCTCCGGAAACTGGACTTCCGGACAGCGGAATCGAATCGAATAGGCCGCAGGGGTGGAATCTACATCCATAATCGCCGGTATGAAATTCAAATCGAATCTTTTGTGCGCCGCAGTCCGAGAACTTTCCGGCAAACTTTTCCCTTGAAAGGAAACGCCGTGGAAAAGTATGCGGCGTACACTTCGCCGACTACCATTCATCGAACTTCGGATACTTCAGGTATTTCGGTCATTTCTTATCAGCGAAATTATACGCGAATAAAAAAAAAGACGATCAAAGTCAAACATTCATGACTGTTCTCCTCGACATTACGTATTATACAAGATTTTCGCATTTCAAATAAAATTGATCAATTCATATACAAAATCCATACAAAACTGTTTCAACAAATCGAACGATGATAGTCGAATTCTTTACACGATTTCTCTCCTAGATTAGATTTTTGCATCCGATTAATAAATCTTTGCACGTCGCGCAAGGGATAACTTGATGGCAGGTAAACTCGATTAAGGAGGAGGTTAGCCGGGTAAAAGCGGAGCCGGAAAGATTCACGGCGCATGTTCGGCGTGTAAGCTTTCGGGTAGGCAGGGCTAATCTGGTCCGAGGGAGATACGAAGCCGTCATCCTATCGTGCATCACACGACGTTTCTGCGTGCATCGAGTAAGCCTATTAGCGCGCAGGCTTATTAGTGGACGCGGATGTCATCTGACCCAAATTCCAAGTTCCTATTGCTCGATACAGCTCGGAATGCCCTTAATATGAATTTACGATAACGCGATTACGATAATGCGCGAAGTAGACTAGACACTTAAACCTACGGATCACAGATTCTATAATTGACGATAAAATATCGTCGATGTCGAACCGATATGAATATTCGTTAAGTGGTACGCGCAAGCTCTGGAGCCTAGTCGGAAGCTCTTTATTATATTCCATCATCGATCGCTCCTGCTTTCGAACGTAATTGATATTACCTTGCCATATTACCTTTACTGTTTGCTTTTTTATCCTCCGACAATTTAAAAAAGTACTGACTCAAACATAAGAAAATTCTTAATACAAATATTCCCAAGCTGATTGGACAAAAATTTCAAATAAATTGAATTACATTGATTATTTGTAAGATTTGCACAGGTAGTTCATCAAAAGTTTTTTCTCATTTCAGATAGAAGTTCTGATTCCTACACGGCCACCTCCTTTCGGAATAGTAAGTAGCTGTTCTGCGGCCAGTAATGAATGGCCGGAATTATTCAACGCTTTGTTCGCAGATTCAACGTTTTAAGCTAACAACATCGACCTCAATGGTATGATTACTTGAGGTGGTACATCAACGGAACACCCGTTCACCGAGGTTGCATCAACAGCCCCGTAAATCTCCGGCAAGAGTTTTCCTCCTCCGGCTTGCTCGCGTTCCTCGTTAACTTTGCAACCCCTTGTCAATTATTACACAGCGCAGCACCCGAGTCAACGGCCAATTTTACACTGATCTTCCTTCATTCTCACACAAGCTTCTGCCTCCGTCAATATGTACTGTACAACTACACAAAGTGACACTCGACGCTATTGATCACTTTTATACATTCTTTAACGGTAAAAGAAAATATTTATCTGTACTTCAAAGCTCATGCTCTCCTCGGCTTTTGGTATGTGTAAAAAGGAACGCAAGACGTCGGCTTATTTATAGAACTTAGAGGATGCTGGGAGCGGAGCTTCTCGCTAGATCATTCCTCCTCTCAAGTTAATGGAATGCGGCAAGCGTTGAGTATGAGTTATGTCCAAGCTCGTTTCTTACTATGATCTTCTAAGACACTCACTCCTAGTTTGATAGAACGCAGCTACAAACGCTTAATCAACTATGAGTCAATAACGCGCAGGCTATACCATTTTTATAAAATTCTACAGCCTTATTTAAACTCTTAATGGATGAAACTGAGAGAACATGGTAAACGAGCATTTATGAATATGAGTTTAAATGGTCTGGGAGTCAATTGCTCGAAATCAAGCGGATTCGCGTTCGTCAACCTCGGATCCGTCTTCGAGGCTTCCCTTGTTAGGCTTCGTCTATTTCTACCATCCGCAAGATCATTATGCTGATTGGCTCGTGACCTGAATGTGTACACAGTTTGTCACGCGTATCTTTATGCCTATTCACCAAGTTATCGCGCCTCGCTTCATTGTCACCTAGCCTCGACAATTAGAAAACGCTTTTTGTACAATATTCAAGCATCTCTGTTACCGTCAGTATTTCATCGAAAACTATTGATTTGATCATTATGACGAATATCTTTGACTTTAAAAGTTGAACAATTTTATAATACATGCTAAATTTAGATTCTATAAAATATAAGTATGCATAAAAAGATACTATTAGGATTCTTCCAAGTCGTTTGGCCGCGAACCGTGGAAAACTGTGCATATAAAATCCTGTTTCCGTTCGTTTTTGTCGCAGTCAATCGCCGCGACGGCTTTTACGAGTGTCCCGCGAATTCCAGCTTCTATCAGCCGCGATCGGGTTGTTTCTGCACTTGAAAAAGGGGGCCGCGCAGTCGCGCGCAAGGGTGAACGAACTTCGCACGCGGGAAGATATACTGTTACGGTCACGAAACGCGATATACGCAATTCATTCGACTTTAATGCCCAGCGAGAGCCATACTTAACCCTTCCATAAAACCAATTGTGGCCAAAAGATATAAAACGTGCGACGCGTATCATGATCATCGTTTAAAGATCGCGAGAGCCTTTATACGTAACCAGGTCACGATTCAAGGTCTCTCGTTTCTTAAGGGCTATTGTTCAGGACTCGGATAACATCTCGAAGCTTGTACAAGACCGAAAAACGATAAATCTATACGTTTAATTTTTTAACTAAAGACGTAAAAGAGGAGAGGTATGAGATTCTTGAACCGTAAAACGCGATCAGGGAAAGGTTTTAACAAGCATCGTTGCGCAACGACCAAAGTTTTTCTGACGTAAAAAAAAAACAGTTCCGACAACGATGCTTCACTAGCAAATTAGCGGAAGTACCGCAAGAACTTGCCTCTCCCTTCGCGAGTCGGCTCGCTATTCGCTTTTTCGTTAGATCAGTTCCCGAGTCTTTTCTTCTTTTTCGTATTTTTTCCCCTTTTACTTCTGGCGTCGATAGCCGTTCGCCAGGAAACGTGTACGTCGACTCGCGAGCTTCTATAGCCCCAGGTTCGGGAGCAAATGGCGCCAACGCACGCGAATCCACGGCGCCAGGTGCGATAAAAGCCTGACCGGACTTTCTCTCTCTCTCTCTCTCTCTCTCCCCTGACTGCGAGCCTCGGGACTTTGATACATAATGGAGTCATAAATCTGTCGATTCTCTGGGGAACAACTAACGCGAAACCTCGATAAACTTCTTTCCTACCATTCGAAAAGACAAGAATCGCATGTTCCATCGGCTGTTATTGCCAGTTCGCTTTTACTATTCACGTGAAACTATAATTCACAATAATCCCCAATGAGATTCTGTATCTAAAACGTCTAAACGCAAACGAGAGAGACTGTGCAAACAGGCGAACCCTCGACGATAACGCGGACTATGTTATCAGCTCGAAATTCGCCATCAGGGCCCGGGCGGATGTTTGGGCCTGGAAAGCGCGTTTGACTTGCGGTCATAATCCACGAGGG